CTCGTACGACTGAATTTCGCGCGATCGAAATATTCCGAACTGACAATGAGAAACCCCGGGGCTAGTTTAGCTAGATGAGTGTTGCAAAAAGCGTACAACACCGTTGATTTGTATCGTAACTGGTCCCTAATTATCATTTACTTCAATATTTCATGACCGGTTACTTGTCGGCGATCTGGCCACGGGAGTATGAGTGCTTGCACAAATTGATTTTGAGCACACAGAAGGGGATTGTGAAGAAGAATACATCTAGCCCGTTGGTGTATATACAGTTGAAGGTTTCAGTTTGAACAACCATTAACCACGCATATTCGTGCGCCGGTTTTGGTTGCCCATTTAAACGAAGAATAGGAGAAGGAAACTTGAAAGTGGAGAGGAACAGAAAATGGAGAAGTTCAGCGGTCTAAGGTTGCAAAGAGATTGAGGAGATGCACGAAAGCCACTGGTTGCGACACCCAGCCATATCAACCAGTGTAGCTAACCATCGGTTACGACCATCCCGAGGTCACCAGCCAGGGAGCCTAACAGGACCTGTGACCCAATTTCCTGGTTAGGGTTTTCATACCCTCGTGCCAGGTCTTAGCTTGACCACCCTTAGCTGTTTTCCACTCGGTTTCTGCTTCGGCGAACATCGCTCGTTGTGATAACCTACCTGGTGACATGCATAACACATGTCCCAGACAACGTAATCTATGGATGTCGGCCATTTGCTCCAGTGGGCGGCCGCATTTAAACAAAACTCCGCGTCTAACCTCAGCATTGCTCATCCGGCTATCCCACCAGATTCGTGCAATGCTGCGTAGACAGCGATGTTCAAAAACCGAAAGTCTATCTTTATCTTGTTTTCTTAATGGCCAAGTTTCTGCACCGTATAGCAGAACTGGCCGAACTGTCGCGGCGTACACTCGACCCTTCACAGAGCCGGATGTCGCGACGGCGCCATAGATGTCTCAAGTTAGCAAATGCCAACCGAGCCTTCTGTATGCGAGCTGACACTTCATCCATGATGCCTCCACAGTTGAAGGATAGAATGCCCGATTTTGACGCCTCTTTCACTTGCTCCTGTGGAGCAAATAATGTTGGCCGCACTACCAGGCCTCTGTCAGAGCGCATCCGTGAGGATCACCCCGCGTGGTTGACCAAGGTGGAGTGATCAAACTAATCACAAGTGCGGTCTGATTGCACCTTGTTGACGCTAATCACATTGTAAACGTGATCGAAGCGTTCCGACCCCTGTATGAGTTAAAACGGGATGATCTAGACACAACCGGTCTCGCAGTCCAGCCACAACCCCCTTCTGTGTGCTCTAAAACAATTTGTGCAAGCACTCAAGCTCCCATGACCGGATTGCCGACAAGTGGCCTATCATGAAACAACGAATTATATGATACAGACGGTTGAATACTATGACCACTTTCTCTTGTGAATTCCGCTGGGTTTAGATTTGAAAGAACAATAAAAACAGCGAGTGCATGCTTGAATAGCATGGAATGTCGCCTAATTCCGCGATTAACACGTGCAAAGTGTCACATTCGGTATCCGGAGGAACGTACGCTCGAACAAACAAAAACCACGGTTCGAAGCCAGCCGCCTTCGAATATAGATTCATGAATCTTCCTGTTAACGGCAGTCAGTAATCCCTGACTTGTTTATTATGTTTCCACTAGAGGATACCGTGCTTCCATCGATCGATTTTTTGGCAGCCGTGGACTAGTCTTGTCCTATATCATCAAGTGGCTAAACAATTACCGTAGGCGAAACGAGAAGGCCACGATCATAAATTATCCTAAGCAACGGATTTGTCAAGTAACGTTGAGCACGACCTCCGCCAGAATCGTTCCACTATTGTCCGGATTTCTTCAGAAAAAAGTAAATTCCTGATGATTCCAATTCAGCAACGAGGACGTACTGATTCGACTGGCCCATCAATTTAGCTTCAAATCAGCACTGCGACATGTAGCGCTGATCCATCTATCAGTTATTGTTGGATGCACCTCAAAGGAGCACAACCACAATGCATGGGATTCGAACAGGGTAACACTGCGTTCCAGTTTCCACAATCATCAACACAAACCATTTGATCGTTTCGTCAAGCAGGATCAAGATCGCATTCACCATCAACTACACTAACACTGTAAAACCGCAGCGGTTATCGTTCAACCATCGAAAATCAAACTGCGTCTCAGATGTGTAAAACACTCCAAAGAAAACGTTTCAGTTTTCAACTTAATTCAAGAGGCAAATGGTGGATGCCGATCTTGGAATACAAGATTAGTGCGTGTGCGTGCGTAGCACAGGTTGCAGTTCATTCGGAAATATATTACTGCGGGTAACCAGCTCCTGCAAATAGAGGAAAAATGAAACCAGTGACCCAAACGACGTGCTTTACAATGCCACTGGTGACCGGCACTTTTCAATTGCAATGGGCCAATCTCCGCATCGTCCACCAAGAAGATTGTCAAATGCACTGAAGGTGCCGAACAACGCTTATGATTGGAGTATCACAATCACAGAGAGAGAGGGGTCTTTATTCCGGCCACCAATGATGTACCGGAGCTAGAATTTCCCAGGTAAGCCATCCGACTACACCAACAGCAAAGCACCGAATAGGGGGATTGCCGAGTAAACCACATTCACGAATCGGTAGAATCCAACTAACCAGAACAGCGTGTCAAGTACAACGAGATTAACGTTCATAAAGCGTCAGCAAATTCCTCTAACTATTGGATCACCTCGTTATTTGAAATGTAGAGCTTCTGAAACATTTACTGCACCATAAAATGAGAGACGCCATTAAGGAATGAAATCCGTGCAACATGGTTTCATTAGACTCAATAATTTTGTAGAACTGCAGGGAAAGTGTTTGTGTAATAGTTGACATCTCTTTCGTTCTTTCCAAAGCTCAAAAATGTGCACTATTTACTCCGGCTCTACCGTCATAACTCCAACTGACATCATTTTGTTTGAGATCTGAGTGCTTTGTGACGGCCAGGAAGGACTTAATAATTGTAAAAAATTACCATAATTTATCCAAAAATGGAAATATCTCCTGGTATTGGTTTACTACTCGTGAGTAATATGGATCTATACGCAAACTTTTGCGCGGGGATGACCTTAAGAGGACTCTGAATGAAAGAACCAGTGTCCAGTCCATGGACAACTTGTATGTACTCAGCGATCTTCACTTGTTTCCCTCAAATCTCTCGCTAGGATGTATAATTTCGTAAGGTTCATGACGCTTTGGGTCACAGAAACCGGCACGTAGATAAATTGCTTCACATCAAATTTCCCCGTTCCCGCTGTTCAGTAACACGGAAATTGGTCACATTTGTACACGGTGATAATTATGCTGAATTGATTTCAAATCAGGATAAGAACGATTTTTGTCGACTTTTCTGCAACGCGGGATCTGGAAATCGGACCGGTGTAGTGAGAGTTGCTATCATTCGGACGCCCTGTTCACCGTTCACCTTGATCTCCTCTTTGGTCACGCGACAACCCATGTAGAGGAAGTAACGCCGCATACTGAAAGAAAAAGTGGGAAAAATACTGGAATGAGACAAAGAAAGAGATAAATAAGGCATTGCAAATGACACCGAAAAGCGAGAGACTGTTAACAGCAACAAAGGATATCTTCTGCATCAGATTGGACGGAGGCGATAATTTTTTTCAAACAGGAGGAAATTCTCCCCAGATCATGGCGAATCAGCCTGACCTTAAAAACATGATAGGTTACACAATCAATCACTCAATTTGTGGCTGGAAGAAAAATCACCGGAACTATTTATGGATAAATCCTAAAGAAAATAATTGCCTTTCCCCCGTCTCCAATCAACATACATTCATTCCTCCACTCACAGAGTACGCTATTCAGGCATGGAATCCATAGCTACAACGTGATTGCAAAATGCTGGAGCGCCCACAAGGGATAGCCACCAAAATGGTTAGGTGGGTGAATCGTTATTCAAACACAGAGAGAGATTGAAGTCAATTCACCTAAAGCAGTTGCAGTGATAGACTGCAATAGTTCAAGTATGTTTGTCTTGGTTTATTCACTCAATGCCGCCGCGAGGACTAATACACTTGAACACCGCCAGTCTGGATTTATTTTCACCCAGCCACTGGTATATTATCAGACCAACGCAACATGAACTTTATCCTTCACAGACAGCTCTGAGTTTCGCGGTCACATCACACACACACACACACACACACACACACACCTGGGAGAGAGTTACAGATCGAACACACTGACTGCGAATGACTGACGCCGGCATTCCAATCGGCATTTCGAGACCAAACTAGTTTGAACGAATGTCCTCGAAGATGAACGTTGGGTGATAATTTTAGCAACGGGTGACACGGATGGCTTGGGTTTTGCATTATTTGTTATACCATAATCACATCTCCTGTGATCCACCCGTAGCGACTGGAATATAATCCCAGTGAATTCAATCTCTCTGAGTTGGAATAACGATTCAACCGCCTAACCATTTTGGTGGCTATCCCTTGTGGACGCTCCAGCATTTTGCAATCACGTTATAGCCATGGATTCCATACCTGGATAGCGCATGCTGATTAAAGACGAGGGAAAAAGCGCTGACTCAAACCGGCCAAAGATCCGCTTAAGCAAACTGAACGCCACACTCTCCATCTCGCCCTCAGTTCTCCTTCAAGGCCTCCAAACGATCCCTTACCGTTTTTTTCTGCAAAACAAACAGATCCACTCTAAATAAATCACATTTCGAAACAAGTCAAGTCAAAGTAAGCTTTATGCACCCGTAGGGTGAATTTTCAGCGATTTTTCACGATAATACAGTGGAATTCAGGTGGATGGCCTCCGAGTGTGAATAGGTTAACTTAAAAAAAAGGACAGAAAACTGAACGCAGGAAGACGATAGTGACGGATAAAAAATGAATAAATAAACTAACTCATGAGGTGTTCATCCAGACCTTTAATAATAGGTGCCCGATTTACTAGAAAACGAGCAAGAAAAGAGAGGCTGCTGTTTTTGTATGCGACGGTGCGTGCGGGAAGCAGCCTATAATGGGAGCGGGTACGAGGGTTTGAAATGGATTTCGTTGTGCAAGTAGTGATCTTTGTTGTTCAAGATTTCATCGGCTATTCTTTCACATGCATCGATATGTTTGCACACAATAAATCCAACCACAACTTCTCTGGCTAGGCCGCTACATCGAAAAAGGAGTTTAATGGACCTGGAAATTAATACGAAATCTTTTTCTTTTAAGCTGGGAAAAAATACACGGGAACAGTACAGTCAATGAGGGAGGATGCATGCTACCACGAATTTTAAAATTACGTTTGGGGGAACAGCAGGCTTCCTAAGCCTGAAAGCATAAAAAGAGAGTTTATGAACTTTTTGTAAACGTTCTCTACATGTAAGGTCCATGAGAGGTTGTGGGATAAAACGACTCCGAGGTAGTTAAAAGAGTCAGCTTTGGGAATGCTGTGACTGTTAACTACTAGATCCGGTAAATTATTAAAGGTAGTTTGATAGCGGGAGCCCGATTTAGGACTGAAGGGAACGTCGAAACATTTGGAGACATTAAGCAAGAGTGATCAGGGTAAAGACCAACGAAAAACGTCGTTCAGACTGTTTTGGAGTTGATGGAAAGAAGCATCAGTATTGGAGGGGCACCCGATCACCACATCGTCGGCATACTAACAGGCAGTAAAGTTGGCGGGGACAGGCAGGTGGTTTATGTACAGGGGGAAAAAAGAAGGGAGACAAAATGGCGCCCAGGAAACACCCGAGTGAACATAAGACGAGGATGACGTTTTACCAGTGCATGAGGTAAATTGTGTCCTAGAAGAGAAGTATTTCAACACATCGGATCAAAAGCAGCAGTCAGTAAGACGTTGGATGAGAATGCGACGGTCAAGCGAATCAAAGGCGTTGGCGTAGTCAAGAAAAATAAGGCGAACAATTCCAGCACTCCTATCAATAACTGAGGTCACAGAATGGACAATATACGCCACAGCGTCAACAGTCGAAAAGGATTTCTTATAAGCAAACTGAAGAGGATCAAAAACATCAGAGAGGGTAGTTAAATGGTTCAATAGCACTCTTTCAAAGACTTTCAACAGGGCTGAGGTACATGCAATCGGTCGATATTTTGAAGAACTCTTCTTGAGAATGGGTCTCATCCGGGTGGCCCTACAGCAATCAGGGATTGTCCCCGAGGACACACAAATTAAACAACTCAGCACTGGGTATTGCAAGGTGTTCGGCACAGGTTTCCAATAAAATAGGGGTTAATGAGTCCGGTCCGTGGACCTTGTTTGACTTAAGTTGCCTCAAAACTTTGAGAACCTCGATCGGAGAAACAGGGTTGGTGTTTTCCGAGGAATTGTAAACGGACGGTAGATAATTGGACCCAGAGGAGGCAGAAAAATGTCGGTTTAATTCTTCTACGTCAGAACAAGAGCTCTCACGTGTGTCACAGAGTTGCTTCAACGCCGACCACATCTCGCGACAGCTCTGGTTACCCAGGATGGTCTCGACATACATCCAATTCAAGCGGTGAATCATTTCATTATTTCAATAATTGGTCTCTTGCTTGATCCCTTCATACGCAGTCTCTCTCTGTCGTGATCTGCCTTTTCATGTAATGGGACTGTACTGGATTAGATTTGGTTATCTGGCTGGAACTCCGTGAAATAGCTTTGTGTTACTACAGGGGACTTTCTGCGATGGGACAGTTAGTAAAATACGCCGTCCACCTTATGAGACTCTGAAACTTGGAAGATATCATGACAAGCCCCTCCTTCTATCGTTCAGCGATAAATCTGGCTCATCATTTTATATTGCACCTTCGTCATTTTTCCGAATTTCCTCATAAATGATGGCATAACTCTGAACACCGTGGTATTGCAGCTATCACTCGCTTATCTGCTCCATCTCTCTGACAAGAGGTGCCGGTTGATGAACTAGGTGTTCTGCGAGAAGCTGGCTGCAAAAGTTCTCGAAGACACACACGGCGGTTCCACTTAAGTACCCGGACCGGGGTTCGTATAATCTGTATTGAAACTCTCCAGCCCCTTACTTGGTCCGTGGTCCTACATGCGCGGGGAAGAGCATACAGACATGCAAGTGTGATACGTTTTCAAAAATTGCCTCTACTGTTTTGAGGCTAACTGATTTCCTATTATATTCCATTCACGGGAATCGTGTTTATTTGTCACAAAAAAAATCCGGGCGTTGGAGAGAGAGCGGGAATAACGGATGAAAACGAACTTACCGTTCACAATTCATCTTCAAATCGACTGCAAGATCGTCCACAATTGTCTTGAAATTATCACAGTGCAAAATTAACGCCAAAATATGATACACCAAACGATCACGCATCATTGGAGGTACAGCGCTGGCGAAAACAGATAGGAAAATGAGGAGTTGGGGTGGAGTGGGATGGGAAATCAGATTAGAGAGAGAAAGAGAGAGCAGGATGAGAGTCGGTAAGGACATGGAACATGAGATCAACAACGTCTCTTGATAGTGCCTTAGAGATACCGATTCCCCAACCTGGAGTTTTGATTGCATATTTACAAAGGTCTTATTTGAAAATAGAAACGGAGAATGGACATGATTGAACCGTCACGCAGAACACATAATATGGAAAAACTGTTGAGCAAACTCTGTATTAGTGTTTCATAGTCGCGCTCGGACAACACAAAACACAACGAATTTCAGATAGCGATTCACAGTGGCGGGAAAAGAGAATACTTTACGGATTTGGGTTTTAAATGCTTTTCATTTTGGATCCGGGACTTTATCAAGGCCAGTTATCAACTGTT